TTCACTGAATACGTTTTCTGCAATTTTTAATTGTAAAACGTATTCCGTGAATACGTTTTCTTTTGTAAAAAAAATATGAAAAACGTATTCCTTGAATACGTTTTACAGTAAAATTGTAAAGAAAACGTATTTAGTGAATACGTGTTTTTTATTTTGGTCCACTCCCTCTTTTTCTTTTTGTTTTTTGTCCACTTACTATTTTTTTATTAATAAATATATAAATTACCCGTGTGTAGAATGCAGGTGATGTAAAAATGATGTCAATGTTCAGACATGGAAATAAATGGGCACAAAGTGAACAAAGTCATGCATGATGCATCGTTTGTTGGCTGATACACACAAACCAGAAAATTTGCACAAAAGGGCTTCCAATAAGCGCAAATCAAGGGGAAAGTGGGACAAATGAAAATGGGCAAAAATTCAAAATTGGTCCTATAATTTGGCTATTGTCCAAAAAACCACCTCTATATTGATCACTTTCAATTTAGATCCTATAGTTTGTCGATTTCATCAATTTTGGTCCTTTTTTATCCGTACCTTGGATTAAAAAATGACGTGGCATGAAAAAAGAACCAAAATTGATGAAATCGACAAATTATAGGACCAAAATTGACGTGCCACGTAGATCATAATCACGCCATGTAACCTTAAAAAACCGATACGTCATGCCGCATCACTTTTTAATCCAGGGTCCAGATAAAAAGGACCAAAATTGATGAAATCGACAAATTATAGGACCTAAATTGAAAGTGGTCAATATAGGGGTGATTTTTTAGACAGTGGCCAAGTTATAGGACCAATTTTAAAATTTTGCCAATGAAAATGGTCCCATTCCTACTTCTCGTGAGCCGATTGCGGTGCCATGTGATGCGCCGACCTTTCACCTCCTTTGTTTTCCACTCTAATTATTGGTTACTATAGTTTTTAATATTTTGATTACATTTCTTATTAGTTGATTGCATTTCTCATACCAAATTCTAGTGGATTGCTTTTGACAATTGTAGTCTACCTTCTCCAATTAACCTATTGGTTGGTTTTAAAATATGTTTTATTGTTATTGTTACTTATAATAAGTTTATCGGTTTTGCTATGAAGCCAACAATTGGCTCCATAGTAGAGTCAACCTTCAATATACAACAAGTAAACCTACTATATTCTCTGGTTATTTAAATAACACTAATATAATTTTATTAATAAGATAGATTTATTTGTTGTATATACAAGGTTGGCTCCACTATGAAGCCAACTGTTGGCTTCATAGCAAAACCGGTTTAAGTAAATTAAATTTGTTTATTTTGAATAAAGTAGATCTAAAACTAAATAGTATTTAGAATGCAATGATTAAAGTTGTAAAAAATAGAGACCATAGGAAGTGGTAGATAGTTAAAAAAAATAGAGACTATAGGAAGTGGTAGATAGTTAACATTATGTGAAATGATGAATAATTAATTAAAAATAATGTGATGTGTGAGAATGGTTGATTGATTTTGTTTTTTTTATTATCCACCCCATATATAAGTGAGAACTCGTTGAGCCTAAGTGGCATGCTCCCACGCTTCGAAATACTATGTGACAAAATATTGTGCTACAGAGTCAGGTTTAGTTCTAAATTAATATTTTTTATACAAAAATAAGTAAGTTTGGATTTCATTGTCTATTCCTTCCTTTAATCTACAATTACTTACCATAAACTATTTTAAGTTTCCTTTTCCTACAATACCACTTTATTTTCTTATTTAATTCATACATCAATTATTATAAATGTTTATTTTTCTTATTTTTAAAATTTTGTGACTTTCTGAGTTTGTATTTTATTTTATATATGATGTATCAAATTATTTATCTTTTACCGAGTTTTAATTTAATATCCATATTATATATACACAATATGAAGCAGTGGTATATAGTCTTATAAATAAAACCTAAAATTATTTATCAAACTAGATTAAAATATATCAAATAAAATTATATTTTATCTCATAAAGCAATAAAAATTTATGTATATTAACTTACCATATTAAAGCAATAAAAATTTATGTATATTAACATACCATAATACAACTATTTTATTAGTATAAAAAAATTCTAAAAGTTTATGTATCGAATTAAATAAAGACTACACAGGAACATTGTGATTGTGAGAAAAAAAAAATAAACTTTGTAATTTAAATTATAAAAAGTAGTTACTCTATTTCACAAAGTTTAAAATATTACACTCATAAACATTATATTTTAAATTATTGAATATTATAGTTGAAAATATTTTATAAAATATTAAATCAGGGAGAAAAATTGTATAAATATAAAGTATATTACAATATAATCAAACTTAAAAAAAAATTAGTTCAAAATTAAATTATTGATATATATACACATACACAAACACACACACACACACATATATATATATATGTGTGTGTGTGTTTGTGTATGTGTGTGTGTGTGTAGTTAAAAAAAATTACCATTTTAACAAATTGAGTATAAATGTGAGTATTATTTAAATAATTATATTTGTTATTTCTTCACTTCTTTATTTTGATACAAATATTGAACTTTTAAGCGCCCGTAATATTTATGGGTGTTATTAATTGTTAAATAAATTAATTAATCTTTTTAATTTTGAAAAATATAGATATATATATTAAATAAAATAATAATACTTCATAAAAATATTTTATAGAATCTATATCTATATCTATATCTATATCTATATCTATATCTATATCTATATCTATATCTATATCTATATCTATATAAAGAGGTTGTTGGAAAAATACCTTATTAGAAAGTTTGACCAAATAAATATAATGTTTGACTTACTATTAATGAAAAGTTTAAAAAAACACATGTAAATCTTTAGTAACAAAATATGAATTCTATTTTTTTGGTAATAATTTTGGAGATTCTTATGACAAAATTTGAATTCCATTTTTCGTGTCATATTTTACTTTTTACCAAAATTTAAATCATATCTTTTTTGGTAACGAATTTGAAAATTCTTATGCAAAACAATGTGTCAAATATTTATAAAAACAATTCTAAATACAAATTAATTTAAAAACCGTGCAAACTGGATACAAATTTATGAAACAAATAGTGTATAATTCTTTACCAATTCTTCCGATCTTATTGAATAATTTTTTCTTTAACAAAAAGTATGTAAATTGGATAAATCCACGTGTAATTTTATTTTAAAATAAAACTGATATTTGGACGGGATGTACATTCAAAATTGTATCCACATTTTGTTTGTAACAAAAGCGGTTCATCTTTGATATTTAAAATCACCTTATCCAATTATTTAGGAAAAAATTGTGTGTAACTTTTCAAAATTTAAGTGCATCGATTTTTTTGGATTCTTATGTTTTTTCTTAACCATGTTTTACTGAGATTTTGGTAAGTTTATATCAATTTTTTTTTTTGTTAAGTTCATATCATTTTCTTTAGGAAAGAGATAAATGCATAAACATTAACAAATTATTTTAATTTTTTATTAGAATTATTTACAATTCAATTTGTTTGTTAAAAAAATCGGTGCAATGTTAAGAAAATTTGGTTGCATTTTTAAGAAAACTTATGATTTTTTTATTTGGTTTTAAAAAAATATTCGTATCAATTTGTTTGATAAAAAATTCAGTTTATTGGTAGAAAATTAGTTTCATTTTCATACTAATTAATGATTTTTTTAATTTTTCTTAATTGAAATTTAGAATTAGATTTAAAATAAATAATGGGTGAGAATCCCTAACAATTTCTATTTTTTTTCTACTATAATGTTGTTTAATAAATAAGATCCTTTAATTTTTTTTAATTTGTTAACTAATAACTATTAATATACAATTTAGATAAAATTCGAACACCTATGTAGTACTTTACATGCCAAAGAATCAAACCAATAATGTTGTACATAAGAAAGTGCTTAATAACATATAAATTTCATTTTCATGATATTTTTAATGCCATGAGACAGTTTAAATATAAAAATACATTATAAAAAGTAAATATGTAATAAATGCTCCCATGCATCGCACGGGTACCGTACTAGTTTGACATAATATTAAAACAATATTTTCATATTAATTATTTGTAGTTTTTTAATTCATAAAAAGAATTTTATTTTTTCCACTTTTTGTTTGACAATTAGTTTTTTATGAAACATACGTGTAGTATATGGACATTGTACTAGTATTTATATCAAAGGTCAGAGGGATGCAAGAATTTATGAAGCAAACTTTTGCTGATTTCTAAACTACAACGCAGGAATGTGGTTGGATTAATGGGGTGCTGTGTTGAGAGTAAAGAGACTGTTGATATATGTCTAGTTGTACAGTTTCCACCTGAGAAAAATTTGTTGAGATCATGAAGCTAATGGAGCACAGATACGGGAGCAATTACTTTGTACGTACTACCTCACCGATGTAGATTCTAAGTACCGCAGATTCTAAGCCAAGAAGGCTGCTGAGAATGGAGTTGTTGACAATGGCTAATGGCCCCTGAAAGGATAAAATATAATATCATAGCCATATGGCCGTATTCATAAATCGTGATATAAATCGAACATGAGAAGTCATATTAACATGTTCCGAAATCCTTGTACACGAGTTCCACAAGAAAACAGATCACCAAGTTTCAGACAAATGCAACCAACTCATTTCCAGTATCTTGAAATCAATACCATGAACGTGATAGGATGATCCATTAACCCCTGACAACAAATATAGCAATCGAGGGAAACAATTTCGACCAATTCACCTCTCCCATCTTAGCAAAATACATATTGAACATAAGAAAATTTTGGATCATCAAACTCAAGCAGCACTAACAGAGAAGAACAAAGAAAATTTAGCGTAAAAAAACTCATCCTTGCGATTAGGCGTAATTTCCGTTCTTTCTATATCAATCTTAGAGAACTATGCATGCATTAGCATCAAACCTGGTCCAATATAACGAGCAGCAATAGCCATTACCCGTTATCATATAATGATGTTGAGGGCTGAGAGCTAGTCTTTCCAGCCTTCCTTACTGAACTTTCTTGAGGCCATGCCTTTGGAAGAAAGACTTGGAGTAACGGGCAACGAGGGTGTAACCGGAGTCTCTTCATCGTCCCAATTATCTCCCCAACTATCGTCCCAACCCTCATTCCCGCCCGACTCGACCTTGCTGCCATGTGAAACAGGCAGCTCCATGTCTAGCTTTTGGTATTTCGGGTCCTTTTTCCAAAAATACTTCCTTCCTAGTTTGGTGCCCGTGAAAACAGATACAAGCAACAACAGCAATGCAGCCGAAAACAGAAATCCTCTGGATAGAGTTAGTTTGAAGTCTGTATTGGAGTATGAGGGGTCGTGAGGATCATTAGTTTTCTTCATGGAAATAAATTGGTTTGTTAAACTGAGGCTGCAATCGCCATGTCCAGCAGAGAGTACGATACTATGGCCACTTTTGACTCCAGTAATGGAAACCTTGACCTGCACGGTGAAGCAATGTCAGTAAATAACTAACAGTTCATACGATATCTCCGTTATGTTAAAACGTTAAAGCAGAAAGAGATTAGCAAACAGAAGACATAATATTACAGATTCAGCATCTGCTGAACAGAGATAGCCTAGAAGGCTCGTTTTAGCTTGTAAGTGCTGAACCTAAATAAGAGCATCTGAGTTTTACTGGACAAATACAACTAGAATACTACTTTAGCTAACTTTGGTTATTCACTGTTTTTCATTCCAAGAATCTCGATTCCGGATTCATTTTGCACTGAAGTTCATAGATATGAATAATGATCAGGATATGTGGAGCATCGCAAAGCGTTCTATCAATGGGTACATGAGGTTCCAGGTTCGGTCCACACTAGGAGCACAGTGTTTTAGTGGCTCTAGAATATGCAACCTAGTATCTTCATGATATCCTAGGGCATGACGATTCAAGTTTAACAAAACAAAAAAGAAGAAGAAAAAGAAAGAAGGTAAGATAAAACGGATTCCAAAGGAGAAACATAACTTTTGACTACATTGTTGATGTAATGCAAATGGATAACATAATAAAACTGTAAGAAAAGTAAAAAAGTGTGACTCACAATAACTCCAAGATCCTGACAAATTAGCAAGAAAACTTATGGTAGTTCTCACACAATCCTGCTCCTTTAAGATAAAATACAGAAATCTATCTGAAACAATTAGCATTACGAAAATATGGATGAAGATCAGACAAGAGCCTATGGGCTAAAAGTAACCTAATAACATTTATTTGCCAGAGAGTTCATATGGAAAAGATGGGTTTGCAAACGTTTACATTTACCAGCTAAAGAACCAACAGTTTCTTACCAACCGAAGTATATGGAAATGGTAGGTTGTTAACCAATAACGAGCCTGAATTTTGCCACTAGGCATGCCTTAGCATGAACTTATAAGCCGTGTCTTGAAAACAAACCAACTACCAGGTTAGTGTTTAATTAGAGAACAATATCTTAAGACCGTTTTGGTGTCTAATTCAGTATTTCCTCAGATTCAAATAATATACAGCACATATGACCAATTTTATTTCCACGCTCATGAAAAATATTTAACCCTAACTAAAAAAAAACCACGGTTCAATTTGCACAAGGGAAATGCAGCTGATACAAATCCAAGGCCATGAGAATAGTTTCCAGCATGGCACCTTAATAATATTATCACGCAATCGGATGTAAGCGATATTACTCCTTAATCATTCATGCGACATGGCATACCTCCATGTCTTTATTCTCTTGTAGCTCAATCTGTTTCTTCTCCAGCTGAACTGAATCAGGGGCTGTGATTTTGATACTCAGAGGAACTCTTCCCATGTTCTGGATCAAAAGTGAAAGGGATGGAGATTCTGGAAGAAAAACAAAAAGTTTTTGTCATTTCATTCGTATTCAAAGAGTCAGGTTAACAAATACAACATCAATATGCATGATTTGAAGTTCTACCATCAAATGAAGTACTTCAGCTAGAATAAGTCAGTAACACTTGATAAATAAAACCTAGTGTCATCTGATGCAAAACTTACGACAAGAAGCAGAGAGGGATTCCTATCATATAGGCCACAAATTACTACGGTATTAAGATTTAAAAAATAAAGTAAAAAATCTATTAATGGAAACAATAAGGGATCCACAGTCCACAGCCCAAAATTACTAATCACGGCCAAAGGAGCAAATATCACTGACGTAAATCCTCGACAAGACAAATATACTAATCATCAATAATTAATAAGTGATCCAAGTTGCACACCGTTGCATACTAATATAAAATATCTGCCACTCAAGCAAGCAAATACAAAAGATACTGCAATCAACAGAGTCAAGCCTAACAAAGGTTAAAGAAAGCAAATAATATACCATTCCCAGGAACTCTCAAACAAGCAACCAATGTCTTATCATTGTCCGTGCAACGGTTGGAAGACGAATCACATTTCTCTACCAGCAACTTCCCTTTTTTTGGTTCATTTTTAGACTCAGAATCCAAACCTTGATTCTCCTTAGGTTCACCCTTCTGAGCACCACCATTTGATTTCTTTTCCTCATTCCCGCCTTTTCTGGAATCCAATCCCTCTTTCAAACCTTTTTTTACCAAGTTAATACTTTCCTTGCCATTCTTCGCCGTATCAACTGTCTTGTTTACGCTATCATTAGTTTTCGGCAGTACCCGATGTTTCGTATTAGCAGCAGCCTCCTAAAATATGAATGCCTCATCCAGTAAACATCACAACAATTGTAATTAAATAAGAAAACTATCGCCACAGGTACCCATTTTTGGAGTTGTATAGTACCTCTGAATCTGCTATTACACTATGCGGTAAATTGGTCGAGGCTATCAGCACAATCACCAGAAAGGTACAATTTAGCTTCATTTCTCCCACAGTTCTATGATTCCAAAACAACCTGATGTAAACAGTATCGTTCAACGACCACGAAAGCAGCAAAGGAAGTACTCGAAGTATACAAGTAACAAGCGTGAGTGAATAAAAATGGAATCTTTACCTTTCTCAAAGAGGTTAAGCTCGCACAGGACTACTGAGAGCTGAGCTTCAGAAGAAATACTCTTGTTTTGTGCCTGCAGAATATGCTATGTAGCCGTTAATGGAAAACGCAACACAAGTTGAAGTATCAAGCTCTGGATACGAATAGGTAGAGAAACGATTTAAATAAAATCTAGGGTTTACGAAGTATTTCTGCTGCAAGTATGTGGAGATTATATGAGAGAGACGACCGAGACAGAGTTGCTACTTGCTACTAATTCGAGCTATGTTTAAAGTTGATTTCGATAAAATCTGCAAACAAAGCGAAGACCATTGTTGAAAACTAAAGTGGCACAGTTTGATTGAAAATAATTTAAGACCGGAGAATGTTACGGTCCCCTTACGAAATTATTACGTCGAGTTTGTAACCATTAGATCAATTATCCTCGACAGTTACAAGATAATCTAACGGTTACAAATCTCGATAGAATAGTTCCGTAACGAGACTATAGCATCTCCCCGTATATCAAATGCTATTTTTAAGTGGTCCGTCGAAAATCATTCTTTCTTACAAAAATTATTTATATTATAAAACATTATATTTTTTAATATTACTCAGAGGTACGACACTTATTTTTTTCGAACAATAGACTTTTAGTGTTATATACTAAAAGTTTGACTTTGGATAATATTGCAATTTTACAGTTTATGAATAAGAATCATGTTTGATTAACAAGTTCTATGTTCTGTTGTTTTGCACTTAGATAGAATGAGTTATCATCGGGCGAACATAAGATCATTCTATCAGTTACTTGCGAAACAAGAATTGTGGTTCTCAACCTAGATGAAAATGAACACCCCATCCGAATGGTTGTAGTGTCAACAGTACAGTTGCTATTGACTGATTAGTTGCACTAGTACATTTATGTATTGAATAGGATCCCAGATATGAGAAGTGTGTTTTATATAGATCGTTGTAAACGAACTGGGCATTGGTTAATTATTGCGTTCTCTTAACCCGTAAGATATCAAACAGACATATGTATGCACTATATATTATTTTGATTCACTTGGGTGATGTCCAGTTCGCCGGATTGATATTCCTACTGTCTTAGGTAATATTACTGTATGTATGATGTGCTGTTAGGATATTTACGGTCACCATCAACATTTAGTTTGATGATGTTCCCGAAGTGAGTTCATGAAGGATTATTATGTTAAACCTTGCAGTGGATTAAATTTCGGCAAAGTAATAATGTGATGAACGAGCGCTAGATTTGGTGAAATAATAATATATTAATTAATTCTTGATCATCAGTAAGCGAATTAATTAATGGACATTATATCTTAAACATGTGGAGGTAATCGGGTAATTATTATTGGAGTCTCGATTGAAAATTAGGCTAGGAAAATGGAGTGCAATAATATTATGTTAGTGACCCATAATATTATTTAAACAATTTGAAAGAAGACACTCATATGTTCGGGAACATGCAATCAAGCAATCGTCACTCGCGATCAATGAATCGAGCTCTTAGTCAATTCTGGCTCACGCAATTAAGCTAACACAATCAATAACAAAATCACATAATCTCTAGCCTATAAGATGAATGCATATTCTACTCATGAAAGCTCCTACCTTTACTATAGATTAATCCAATAAATAAAGACAAAAAGACTCACGATATCTTGGACCTTCAGTTAAGTCTCCGATTAGACCTTAAAGGAAGTCTCCAAATCTCTAATGCATCCACGAAAATAAATAAGCCGGAAATTTGTAATTTTGATGGAGAAATATTGCAATAAAAATATGGTCTTTGAGCAGAAAACTAGAGAGAGAAGAGAGATAAAAAAAACTAAGAATAAAATTTTAGCAAATGAGGAATTGTTCAAAAAACACAAACACATACTAAAACACACATTAAAAAAAAAAAACTCTCAAGCAGAATGGATTCGTGAGCAAAAGTGGGATTTTCGCAGGCTGAGGCTCTCTTGCGAGTGTGAGCTTGGGTGCTGGGAACTCGCCGGCAAGAAGGCTTCCGCGGGCGCGAATTGCGGACTCACGAGCAGCTGTAGCTCGCGAGTTGCAACACTACAAGAAATTACATTTACCATGATGAAATTCGGGTGACGAAAAAGAATCGTCACCTTTGATTCTATTATGGTGACGAATTTGACAATTTGTCGCTGCATCATTGTATACTGCGACGACTACTACTTGTGTCATAATTGAATTTGTTTTTCGTCCCATAATCATAGTTACATGACAATACATCTAAATTCGTCATCTTTATATAAAATATGACGAAATTCTATTGTTAATGGTTTTTAAGATGACGCTTTTTAATAAAGCGTCATAATATAATTTTGTACTGTGACGATTCATTACAATACATCTAAATTTGTCACAGTAATACATAATTTGACGAAATTCAATGAGATAAAATAAATGTCATCGATTTTTTTATGATATTTAAATGTCATTATATAATTGTGTCTTGTGACGATACATTACAATATGACCGCGCGTCGCAACGCGGCAAAATTAAAATTTATATTTTTCCTCGACTAACATCTACTAACTAGTAGTAGTGGCAAGTAAGGGTCGATTCCACGAAGAGTGTGTATCAAATTGTGGCTTTTCGTATTAATTGAAATTAAGAAAGCAATAAAATAGGGGGGATTGGATTTAATAACTAAACTAACTAAAATTTTAATGAAACAAATAAAATCTAAACAAACGAAATAAAAATAAAAATAAAATAAATAAGAGAAATTTCTAGTTCACGGTTCTGTCTACACCCTCGACCGACTCGTCTAATCAACTTTGGTATCAAATCTCGCTATCTTATGAAATTACTAGCCCTAGGTAACGACACGGTCTGTTACCCGAATTTTTCCTTATTTTTAATCTAACCGCGAGACGCTCTACGATTAGACCTGACTTCTTGTACAGTCTAGAAAAGGCTTCTTAGATTTAATACAATCATCCGCTTTACGAATTAGAAAAATAGGCTAGACTAAGTAGTGAACTCAACTGCCTTCGTTCACTTAAATAGGCCGTGTTATCCCCGGTAGTTACCATCTTCCGGATACCACTTGCGAATTAAACACATCAACAATTACGGATTGAAGGTCTAATTCAGGTGTAGATATGTAAAGCCTAATCTAGGTGATCAATCTAAATTCAACTCAACACATCATGGTGAATTATTCAAAATAACACAAGCAATTCCAAAGAGATATTAAAATCATCAATCATATAATCAATCAAAACATAGTCAATCGTAGGGTTCGACTTCCCCGGAACTAGAAAGAAAATCTACTCTAACATAATAAATAAAAAGCAAAAGAGAAGAATAAAATTATTCTTCTCGTGTGCAGTTGCGGTCTCCCTCCGCTTTTCGTCGGGCTCTCTCGTTCAATCTCTGTTCGCGAGTCTCTCTGTTGCTGCGTATTTTTTTTCCTTCTCGGCTTCTTCGTGCGGCGTGAATAATTTCTCCTCGCTAATAAATCCCTGTTATGCGTGGTATCCAGGGGCTGTCTAATTATCTCCAAATAAATCCTCTCTTGCCTAATTAATTCCTACATCCCAAATCAATCAAGTTTTTCTCTCTCAGCACAAGAAAACGTGGCCCTCTCAACAACTCAATCTCTTTTGATGGGTCCCATTGGTTACTTTAGACTTCCCCAACATTGTTTTCCAAATGGGCCTGCTACATTAATTACAATCTTGGGCCATAAATATCCATTTGGGCTGAAAATAGTGATCGGTGTTTGGCGTCCCGCCCGCTAATTGTGTATTTGAAACTTTGTCATCCACAAAAATACTTTAATATTTCAAAAATAAGACATAAAATTATCATAGCACTTGGATCCATCTAATAAATAAATGAGTCAGAAAATATATAAGTGCGATAAAATTAAGTATATAAAAATACGCTAATAAATATATAAAATACACACTTTTTCCGACCAATCACAATACATCTAAATTCGTCACAGTAATATATTATATGACGAAACGCAATGCGACTGTGTCATTTTCACTGGTTTTTAAAATGACGCTTACGTGTAAGTTGTCATTATGTGCTTGTGTTTTGTGACGATACATTAAATATATCTTTATTCGTCACAGTAATACACATTAGACGAACTTTACTACTTTGAAATAAATGTCGTCGTTTGTTTTGGTAACTATAGTGACACTTTTGAAAATCGTCATTATACAATTTTTTATTGTGGCGATATATTACAATATATCTAATTTCATCACACTAATACATCTTGTGACCACATGCAGTGCAACAAAATAAATGTCGTTAATATTTTTTGTATTTAAATTAACGTTTTCCGAAAAATAGTCATTATTGCAATATGCATTGGGATGATACATCAACATACATCACATGTCGTCACTTTTTTTTTATCTAACATGACAAATTAGATTATATAAACTAAATATCGCCGTTCTTTGTTTTTACATTTATTATGATTTTGCAAAAAAAAAAATAATATAAAATAAAAAATGAAACTGACATAGTCATTAACTAATAATAACTTATATATTTGCATTATATTTAAATATGTATTTTTTATTTATCTTAAAAATATTTTTTAAATATAAAGAGTATTTTAGTTTTTTTTTTAAAAAAAAACTAGATCATACCTGTTTTTGGCCGATTCTGACCAGTTTTGACAGGTTCAACCGATTGTTGACCGCTGCGGTAGCAACCGGTTCGTTCCAATGAATCCGACAGGTCAACTGACCGGTTCCCAGATTAATCAGGGGACCAGCTAGTTCGGTTCGATTTTCTAAACCATGCGTAACGTAGACGTTTCAATGGAAATTTCTTCAATTTTCTTTTTCTTAAAAAAATAACATCCGATTC